CCGAGCACATCCGCCGTGCTTCGAGAACTCGACGAGAGCAATCGATTCGTCCAAAAATCAGCCGAATCGACTTCGATTTGACCGAGCTAGAGAATTCTCAAGTTTGGCCCCGACGTCCCAGCTCACTGGTTGATTTCCACACAGGTACCCGTCGATCACGGGCGGCGGCTACTCCGAGTTCGTCTTCGGCGAGTGGCTCCGCGTGCGCGCCATCGACCGCGACTCCGTCGTCATCTCCACCAAGGTCGCGGGCGACGGCGGCAACTCGAGTTTGGCGTGCCGCTACGACGTCCTCGGGCGGCCCTTCGCGCCCGGCGAGCCCGTCCCGAAGAAGGCGAAGCTTTCGAAAGTACAAATTATCGACGCCTGCGACGCGTCCCTCAAGCGCCTCGGCGTCGAAACCATCGACCTCCTCGAGACGCACTGGCCGAGCCGCTACGTGCCGAAGTTCGGCGAGACGGGCGCGCGCTACAACCGCGCGCTGGAGCACGCCTTCGTGAGCTTCGAGGAGCAGCTCGACGCCATGGCCGAGCTCATGGCCGCGGGCAAGATCCGGGCCTGGGGCGTGTCCAACGAGACGACGTATGGGGTGGCGACGTTCTGCGCGATGGCCAAGCTCAAGGGCCTGCCGCCGCCCGCGTCCATCCAGAACGACTACAGCTTGTGCGACCGGCGCTTCGAGACGGAGCTCGCCGAGGCCTGCAGCCCGCTCCACGGCGACGTGGGCCTCGTCGCCTACGGCGTCCTCTGCGGCGGCACGCTCGCGGGCAAGTACAGCTTCGGCCGAAAGCCTCCGGGCGAGGCGCGCCACAAGAACATGCCGGGCTTCCAGAGCCGCTACACGTCCGCGGCGACGCTCAAGGCCGCCGAGGACTACGAGGAACTGGCCAAGGCCCACGGCATGACCGTGCTCCAGCTGTCGCTCGCGTACGCGTACTCGCGGCCCTTCCTCGCGACGGCGATCCTCGGCGCGCGCGACCCGCCCCAGCTCGAGGCCCAGCTCGAGGCGCTGGACCACGTGGCGAAGATCACGCCCGAGCTCTGCCGGAAGATCGACCGCGTCCACCACGTCTGCCCGAACCCGAACTACTCGGACACGCACAGCCAGTTCTACCCCGTCTAATTTATGGCGAGCTTACGCCGGCGCGCCCCGGAGCTCCGCGGCGGCGGCCGTGACCTGCTCCTCGTAGGTCGCCGGGCCGTCGACGGCGCACGCGGGCGGGCACCGCGCCGCGGGCTGCGCGCCGTGCGCGCTGTGGTGGTGCGCGCCCGGCGACACGTAGTAGACGTCGTGGCGGTGGTCGTCGCAGAAGGCGTCGTCGGGCATGACCCACCCGTCGGGCACGCGCGCCGCGAGGCGCCGCGTCGCGTTGTCGACGGCGACGTCGGCGAGGCGGCGGCCGTTGCAGCCGAGGCGCGGGTCCGTGTTCGGGTTCAGGAGGAAGGGGTAGGGCCGCTTGATGGACGAGGGGAAGACGTCCACGAAGAGGGGCGCGCAGCGGGGCTCGAGGCCCCGGGACTCGCGCTTCGTCGCCGTCTCGTAGAACTTCCGGTAGAGCGGCTTCTGCGCCGGGTCCGCCGTCGGCGGCCAGCAGCCGTAGCGGAACATGCGCTGGAAGGGGAAGGAGTCGATGGTCGAGTCGCAGCCGTAGGTCGGGAACGGGTCCGGCTTCATGTCGTACCGCGCCATCGCCCTCACGAGCGGCGGCGTGCCGATCATGTGCACGTCCCAGCCCTGGGACCGCCCGAAGACGATGAAGTGGCCGCCGGCGGCCTTCGTCGCCGGCGCCGCGCCGTAGCGCTTCCAGACGGCCTCGAAGTCGAGGTCGTCGTAGGACACGTCCACGCGCGACTTCAATATCAGCGTGTACTGGTCCGGGTCCCCGAAGCGCTCGAGCGTGCGCCAGGCGAAGTCGACGCCGTGCCACTGGTTCTGCCAGCCGTTGCCCCAGCTCCACATGCACTCCACGGGCTCCGTCGTGATCGCCGTCGCGATGGTCCGCAGCTCCTCGAGCGCGCGGCGCTCGCAGAGCGCGGTCTCGTTGTACCAGACGTGGAGGTACCAGTCGACGGTGATCGAGCCGCTGTACTTGTCCTCGATCTGCTTCATGGCCGCCGTGAGCATGGCGTGGGCGACGCGCAGGCGGCCCGACATGAAGACGGCGTACTTGCCCGTGTATTTCGCCGGCGGGCCCAGGTGGTCGCAGTCGATCTCGGGGCAGCTCTTGGCCCGGAACGCCTTGAGCTGCGTCGGCAGGGGCGCGCTCCGGTTCACCTCGCGGGCCGCCGTGCACGCCAGCCACAGCGCCAGCCACCGCACGGGGGCGCGACGCATCATTACGAGGCTGCCCGCCGCGACGACCGGTGCAAGCCCGCAGCACGAAGCCGACGACGATGGGCAGCTTTGGCACGTTGCACAACCTCCGACCTCCTAGCGCGCTATCTTCGACGCGGCGCGGGTCTCGGGCGTCGAGAGGGCGGCGAGGAGGCCCGCGCGGCGGTCGGCGCTCTGCCGCGCCGCCTGGAGGAGGTGGGCCTCGTCCGCGGGCGGCTCCGGCGCGCAGTCCGGCGGGCAGGTCGCGCGCGGCGCCGCGCGGCCTTGGTCGCCGCGGTGGCGGAGCGTCGCGTTGGGCGACACGTAGTAGACGTCGTGGCGGTGGGCGTCGCAGAAGCGGCTCTCGGGCATGACCCACTTCGGCCCCCGCGACGCCGGGAGCCGGCGCCGCGGCGCGTCGGCGCCGCCGAGGCGCCGGCCGGCGCAGCCGAGGCGCGGCTCCGTGTCCGGGTTGATGGCGAGGGCGATGGGCCGCTTGATGACGCTCGGGAAGTGGTCGACGAAGAGGGGCGCGCACCGCGGCGCCGCGCCCGCGGTGTCGCGGCACATGACGCGCAGCGTGTCCGCGAGCGGCGCGCCCCGGAGCACGGGATCCTGGGCCGCGTCCGCGACGGGCGGCCAGCAGCCGTAGCGGCGCATGCGCTGCCAGGGGAAGGAGTCCATGGACGAGTCGCAGGCGTAGCCGCTGCGGAGGCCGTAGCCCGCCATCGCGCGCGCGAGCGGCGGCCTGTGTGCACATCAACCGCTGGTTTGGGACGTCCCGACCAAACTTTGAAATTCTCTAGCTCGGTCAAATCGAAGTCGATTCGGCTGATTTTTGGACGGATCGATTGCTCTCATCGAGTTCTCGAAGCACAGCGGATGTGCTCGTGTCAAACCATTCGAATACGTTCACATTGAAGTCGAGTTGAAGATTTGATGTCCACACGGGCGGCGGCGTGCCGACCATGTGCACGTCCCAGCCCGACGACGCGCCGAGCACCATGAAGTGGCCGCCGCTCGCGTTCGCCGACGCCGAGGCGCCGTAGCGGGCCCAGAGCGCCTCGAAGTCGAGGTCGTCGTAGGCGACGTCGACGCGCGTCTTGAGGACCAGCGTGTAGTCGTCGAGCCGCCCGAAGCGCAGGAGCGTCTGGAAGGCGCCGTCGACGCCGTGCCACTGGTTGACGAAGCCCGTCTCGCCCCAGCTCCACATGCAGGCCACGGGCTCCGTCGTGATCGCCGTCGCGATGGCCGTGAGCTCCTCGAGCGCGCGGCGCTCGCAGAGCGACGACTCGTTGTACCAGACGTGCGCGTACCAGTCGACGCGGATCTTTCCGGCGTAGCGCCGCGCGATGAGCGCCTTGGCCTTCTGGAGCGCGAGGTGGGCGACGCGCACGCGGCCGGCCATGAAGACGGCGTAGCGGCCCGTGTACTTCGCCGGCGGGCCCAGGAAGGCGCAGTCGCTCGCGGGCGCGCCGCAGTGGTTCTTGTTGCGCGCCATCTTCCGCAGCTGCGACGGCAGCGGCTGGCTCGGGTCGACGCCGGACGTGCAAATTGCGAGCCACCAGAGGATGGCGCCGAGGCTGCTGCCCAACAGTCCGCCCAACATCATCGTCGTGCACGTCAATGAACGGCTGTTGAGGTAAATGGTTCAGTTTGTCTTCCAGGATTTCGGGGCTCGAGGGGCTGCTTCCGGCCATGCCTGGCGCAGACCAAAACGCAAAGCAAAGGCGCACGCCGACTCGCAACACAGCAAACACACCATGGCCCCCGACGCCGTCTCCCTCCGCATCCTCCTCGCCGCGACGCGCGCCAACCAACGCTACGAGGGCAAGGGCAAGAACGAGATCCGCGACGACGCCGCCGAGGTCATGGACACGCTCATGGGCCGCATGCTGCTCCGCGACGCGGCGCGCGCGAACAACCAGTTCAGCCCGCGCAACTGGGGGACCCAGTCGCGGGGCAGCTGGAGCCCGCGGGCGTCGCCGCGGCACCACACCAGCCCCCGGAGCCCGCGCGCCGCGCGGAGCCCGCGCTTCAAGAGCCCGAGGACGCCGACGAAGCGCCACTTTAGCAACCTCGTCGGCCTGTCGGGCCGGCCCAAGGGCACCTTCTGAGAGCGCCACCGGCCGCCGAGCAGCGACCCCCGCGCGTCGTCGCGCGCCGCGCGCGGTCGTCGCGCCGCGCGCCTATTAATTCAAAGCCAGCCTCGCGTACGAGTGGAGTTGAATAAGGTTCGGAGCTAACAAGCCGGTGGCCACGCCGCCGCGGGTCTCGCCGCAGCGTGCGACAGGTCGTCATGACATCACGCAACCGCAATCTCATAAGCCCGTGTTGAAGCCCAAATTCGGAGGCTGCCCCCTGTCATCATCCGACGGAAGATCGATGGCCCTGCGCGCCGTCGCCTCGCGATCCGCGGCGCTGCTCCGCCCTTCGGCCGCGCGGCACGCGAGCGACGCGCCGCGGCGGTGGCCGCCGCTCGTGGACCGCGTCATCGACCGCGTGTCGTCGACCACCGGCCTCCACGAGCTCACGCAATTGAAGGACGACGTCGCCGCCGCCGAGGCGGCCCACGAGGCCGCCGTCCAGCGCCGTTCCGAGGCCCTGGCGGCCCACGATGCCGCGGTCCAGGGCCGCGCGTCGACGCAGTCCGAGCTCGCCGTGCTCCTCCAGCGCCGCGACACGTGGGACGCCGCCGACGTCGCGCGGTTCACGGCGTTGACGTCGACGGAGCACGGCATGCGCGGCGGCCTCGAGGAGAGCCTCGCGGCGCGGACGAGCGCGGAGCTCGGCGCCGACGCCGCCCAGCGCGACTTCATCAAGGCCGTGCAGCGGCGGTACCACGGCGAGCTCCTCTGGCAGGAGAAGTACCGCGCGCTGTCGCTCTACTCGACGTGGGCGCTCATCGGCGTCAACTCCGTCATCTTCCTCGGGTCGTCCGTGCTGCGCACGCGCACGGAGCGGGAGCGCATGGACGCCATGAGCGCCGCCGTGTCCGACCTCGCGGCGGCGGCCGCGCGCGCGGAGCGCGTCGCCGCCGCGGCCGCCGAGGCCGAGGCCAAGGCCGCTGCCGACGCGCCCGCGCCGCCGCCGCCGAGGCTCGCCGTGCTCCGCGCGCGGGCGGCGGCGGCCCTCGCGGCCGCGCGCCGCGCCGGGACGCGATGCCGCGCCGCGGCCGCGGCCGCGGCCGCGCGGTGCTCGTCCCGCGCCGGGGACGCGTGGGCGCGGTGTCGGGCGCGCGCCGCGGAGGCGACGCCGGCCTCCGTCGCGGCCGGCGTCCGGCGCGCCGCGCGCGCCGCGGCGACCGTCGCGGCCGGCGTCCGGCGCGCCGCGGCGACGCGCCTCGAGGACCCGCGCGTGAGCGCCGGCGTCGGCCTCGCCCTCGCGGAACTCCTCGGGGCCGTCCGGGTGAACTAGGGCTCTAAGCGACCTTTCTCGCGCTGAACGCGAAATACCCGGTAGGCAGCTGCACGCCGGTTCAAGACGCCGTCGACGGCCCGTCGCGGCCGCTTTCTAGCGACCGACTCGGTGTTGCGCCGCCGGCGCCTGCCGCGCGCCTGTCACTTCGCGGCAACACCGGGCGCGCGCCGGCCACACCGGTTCATCCACCACGTACTCTCGCGACCGAGGTTACGCCGCCCGCGCGTCCCCGGCCTTTTCGCCGCGCCGCCGGCCTAGTGGGGGACCATGGGCACGGCGCCGGGGATGTTCGCCGAGGCGAAGAAGCCCAGGATACCGATCATAGCGAGACGGCCGTTCTTGAGCTCCGCGTTCTGCTTGCGGAGGAGCTCCGCGGGCGACTTGCCATC